ATGTAAAATGTCTGGTATTTGTTTTTCTTGGACCGAAAACCACTTGGGACATTCTTCCCCTGCCATATCTGGTAGGGGCGGGAGGAGTGTGGGGATTTACAGGTGCTGTGACTTGTTTTTTTTCTGCTTCTCCCACCATGTTTGGTATTTTTTGTGAAACTATCTGGCAACCCTAGTTCTCTTGTGTGCTTTACATTCGGGGTATACATGTGTTTAACATTTCTCTTAAGCCCAATGTTGAAAAATTTGGCTGTGATAGTGCCATTCATTTTTTCATGTTTTTGTTCACAAATTGTCATCAGATTAGATTATATATAAAAAAAACAGTGCTCCAAAGAGTCCACTATTGAGTTCCATTGCTCCTCTTATGGGAGAGTTAGCTTGTTCCTTCCCACTTATTTCAGAGCAGCAGCAGCTGCAAAGTGGTTGTTTTGCAATTTCAACACTTCCATAACATTAGCCTTTATTTCTAGGAACACTGAAATCTTTGGCTAGGAAGTGCATCAAAAGAACACTGCAACCATATCTTGTTAGCTTAAGACTCTTCTAATTTTTTTCTCATCTTGGATATATTTGCAGCATTGTTTGTGACCCTGCTGTGCACTAGCCATTTTTATTTTTTTCTTTTTCACAGTTTGTTATAGCTTTTATTGCTGCTGCTTGTAAGTATTCTGCTGTGTGTGCATTTCTTGATGAGTCTGTTACTTGTATAAGGAGGAAATTCCCTTCTTTTGTCATACAAACATATGCAACAGGATTATTGCGGACATTGCTCCTCCATCCATCAAGACTCAGGTTAATATTTTTACCCTCTAGACTTATTGCACACTGCTCAATTGCTCTTTATACAGTAATTTGCCTGAAACATCTCCTCTGTTGGATGGACTGTATCCTGGCATTGAGTGAACCATGTTAAATGAAGTATGGGTTCTCAATCATACAGAAAGGAGAGTTTGTTGCATAAACAAACAGGGCAGTTTTTCATCAGTTACCTCTTTTTGCAATCTGCTAGTTCTTATCACAAATTTATTTGTGGTTGTTGCTGGATTAAGGATAAGAGGTAATTGGGTAATCATGTTGATACAACTTATATCGATTACACGATTTTTTTTTTATATGGAAAGGTGCTACCCCCATTGTTGCGCGCCATCGTTTAAATGTAGTAAGATCTGGGTGCAGGCAGCCCAGCTCCTATTACATTTAAACTGCAGAGCTGCAGCGGGGCTAGTTCCTGGACCCAGAACAAGCCAAGACTGAGCCAAGATTCCTCAGTCCCAGCTCATGAACTTATATCGATTACACGATTTTTTTTTTATATGGAAAGGTGCTACCCCCATTGTTGCGCGCCATCGTTTAAATGTAGTAAGATCTGGGTGCAGGCAGCCCAGCTCCTATTACATTTAAACTGCAGAGCTGCAGCGGGGCTAGTTCCTGGACCCAGAACAAGCCAAGACTGAGCCAAGATTCCTCAGTCCCAGCTCATGCTGGACTGCCGCCTCTGAGAGGCAGCAGGGCAGTTGGGGGAGGAGGACAAGCAGTACCACAGAGACAGTGCTAGTGGAACTAGCCTTTAAGCTGGCTCCTCCCAACACCAGCTTCTCCCCTCACCCTTGCTGCCTCTGATATAGATCCACCAAGTGGGGAGAGGGAATGAGTAGCAGATGAATCAACTACTCTCTTACATCATTATTTTGGATGATTGAGGGTTTTTTGCTTTTTGCTACAGATGATATGCTGTGGCTGTGACAGAAATGATGTGACTGAAACACTATCATTGGTAGATAATTCTGACACTAGAAAATGATGATGTTGAAGGTGGATATTCTTCAGAATTCTGTATGTTGAGGATTGTTTCTCCTAAACAAAATAAGTCAATGCTGTTACATAATTGTTACCATACTGCTCATTTAGTATTACTCATTGTATTCACAGACAGTATTACTTTAAAGGTCAAATTGTAAAAGGAAGATCTGCGTATTTCAGCTATTTTTATTACAACTTGATAAAAAATGATCATACTATAGAGTAATAACTGTATTTGCTCAGACATGAGAATTCATGAATAGTCCAGAAGGAAGACTGACAGTCCTTAAGGAAGAAGTTTGAAATAAAACTTTACCAGCCTGAAAATTCACCATGTTCAAACATTTTCTTTTTATCATCTTCTGTGCAGATTCCTCTGGAAAATGAACACTTATGATGTTTCATTCCAGCAACCAGGCCTTGTATTTCTTTGTTCGTTGTTTGCATTTTGCACACATGCCTGTCATACTCAGAGGTAGAGAAATTTCATTAAAAGATTCCAAAACAGGGCTCTTATGACCTGCTGTCATGTATAGTTTTTCCCTTCTAGTGCGAGAATGGTATGGTGAAACTCTGCTTAATGAAGCTGCATTCAGACCTCAATACTTGTGAAATAGATTGAGCAGCACATTTCAGTTTTTTTGTTTCTACTGCCTCTCCCTCTCTTCTCACATTTATCTTCAGACTTCTTGCCCACATTTATTCCTCCCCTAACAGACTTCTGTTCATTGAACTTTTTGAAATGTTGCACTTTTAGCAAAAGGTCTGGGGAATTGCAATGTTATTTCTTACTTCTATATATTTTATTTAAAAACATTTTTACTGTTAAACATTCATGTTATCTCTGGAGACATGAGTCCACATTTGAGAACTGCAAAACTAAGCATCTCTGATGGCATTTCCTAGACTGAGCACTGAGCCCCATTGGGTAGATTAATTTAAATCTGTAACATTATGTCCCTAATCCATGAACTATTGGAACTCAGTTACAAATTTTTTCTTAAACATTTACATGAGTTGTCTTACTATAGAATTAGAATCTCTTATCCCTATCTCATAAGATACATTATAGCCCAAAGAGATCTTAATTAAAACAATCTTTAGATAGTTTGTCAAATAATTTTAGCTGAAAAATAAAACAATTTTTTTAAACCATAGATTATCCACTCTGCCATAAACATTAATGGATGAGACTAGGCTCATTAGCTAACCATGTACATGGTTACACTTTTACATCTCTATTTCACACAATGATATTTTAATAATAACCCTGCTCTATGGCAGACCATTATTTAATACTGACAGGTGAAGCCTGTCGTTTACCAGGCAAAGTCATTTTGTATAGATTATACGTACAGGAAAGTGCAAGAAATTAAATGTGTAATAGAATTTTTTTATTAATGTGCTTGCAAAAAGGGAAGTAAAAGAAAAGCTTTAAACTTGTAGGATTTCCACTTGAAACACTTTTCATCTTATTGAATAATTTGCATATAGTACATTTGAATCAGAAACGTGGAAAGCTTCCATTACTCTGAATTATTTTGTGATTTGTAACAGTAAAAATTTTCCTTGCACTAAAATAACACTTGAATAGACAACATGGCTTTAATTTTAATAGCAAATATTTTTATGAACTCTAATTATAATAGTCATGATTTTTTTCCAATGGAAAAACAAAAATCAGTGTTTCTCTCTGTGGTCTGCAGACCCTCTCTGCAAAAGCCGCTACTGGGCTGCTCTAGTTTGTTTGTGTTTTTTACTGGCTCTGTGGCGTTGGAGCCTCACAGCTCCCTTTTGCTTCAGTTTGCCATTTGCAGCCCAGGGGGGCCTGGAAAGCAGCACTCCAGATCATGCTGCTTTCCACAGCTTCTAGGAGCCAGTAATTAAACAGGAGTGGCCTGGTACCAGTTTTCTTGAAGTGGATCTGCGGACTATGTGAGAAACACTGATTTAAGCCTTTCACCCAGCATAATCCAATGTAAAAAGTGGTATATTCCACTAATTTAAGTGGCAGGATTGTTTATGCAATATTTCGTATCTATAGGTAATCACAAAGTATACTTTATTTTGCACAAACCAATCCACAAATTCTTCAAAATATATAGAAGATTGTAAATGTTTTGCTTTTTTTAATTTCATGTTTACAAGGCCAATTCTACACTGCAGACATTGATGCTAGAGCAGTGTTTGATCTCAGTGCTCTGATTTATGATTTGATTTGTACTGTTTTCACTGGGGAACATTAAAAAGCAGGAAATGGGATCACTGTGTAGCTGCTGAAAATATCAACAGTTACAAGCTTTCATGTATATCTCACTAGTGAAGTTCACTATCCCACTTACAGCAAGAGAGGAAAGCAGTGGAGCTCTACAGCCTAAGCTGAGAGCCAGCTGGCTTTATAGCTGACGTGTAGAAGCTCCTATACTAAGCTCCAGTGGTCCTGGTTCGAATCTACCAAGTGGAGGTTATGCGCACACCAGCGGCCAGCTCCCTGGAAGCCCACATGTGCCAGGAGCCAGCTTTTTAAATGGGCTCCTGCATGCCATCCCACTCCCAGGAGCAGCATGGGATGGCAACTGGTTCCTGGCATGGACTGGCTCCCACCTGATTTCCAGGAAGCCAGCTGCCGCCCCACACTGCAGGTTTTGATATGGAAGCAGCAGCTCAGGGTAGGAGCTGATGAGCCCAGGTTTGTCAGTTAACCATGTAACCAATTATCCTATTACATCCTTCATTTACACAGGATTATACATCAAAATTAATCTCCATGATAAGAATTTACAAAAGCAGCATTAGGACGCACAGCTAAATAAGGTTGGATTTCTCCAAATCATGAGTTTTATAATGTTACAAAAATTTAAATATGTATCAAACAATTCAGAAGCTGACAGTTTTTCACTGAAAGTTCTTTTTTTAATAAAAGCTCATTTATAAAAGTAGAATGTTCTTCAGGAGTGTGGTTCTTCAATGGTTGAACTGGTATCTGGTGAAGCTTTTTAGTAATTCTGTTCTCCACACTAGTGTGTTTTGATATTAGTGCAGGGAGCAATTGTCATTGTAATGCGCAAACATCAGTGATACAAAATGATTGATATCCTAGATGAAAAGAAAAGTTTGTGTGCTCTTGTATCTCATGATCATCTTTCAGTCTAAAAAGAAAAATCTTAATCTTAAAATATTTTAATCTGCTTATGTAGGGTAGTGATACAGAACGAGAGGGAATAGCCCCAGAAAAATCATCTCCGGAGCGAGAGAAAAAAAAGGAACAGATAGATGCATCTAATTCTCCTAGAACCTCAAAACATCATTACTCAAGATCGCGTTCACGATCAAGGGAAAGGAAACGGAAGTCAGGTATGGTCAACCTCTAACTTGCTTTACCTGTATAGATATTAGGGATGTGAAAGAGTAGCTGTATACAGTTATTGAACGTGCATGGTTATAAGCAGCGACCTCCACCCTGGCACTGCTGCCTCTACCAGAAATAGAAGCATGGGGAAGAGCAAGCGGGAGATATGCACGGGGGCAACACACCAGCTCCTGGGCAGCCACTTGCCTCCCCACGTGTAACATATTTTAACATCCCTAAACTCAGGAAGTTTTAGAGATAATATATTTTGTATCTGGGTAATGTGCAAATAGGTTAATGAGGCAAGTTATAAATTATCTTTAATAGAGACCAAGATCCTTGATCACAAAGTATATAATTTTCATCCTGGCTATGTTACCTTTTGAAGAAAACTCAATGTACTAGTCTCATCTCCCTGAACTTAATTTCTTATAGTAGTATACACTGTTTAAAAATACTCTAAAATAGAAACGTGCACTTGCAGACTTTGAATCCCTTAAAACTATATCTTTTTAAAAAAAAAAAAAAAGTTGTGCTGCAGAGGGGAGGAGGGGTTTTTTTTTTTTTTTTAAAGACTGAGAAACTGAGTCTGCAACTCAACTTATTTTGAGCCTGGAACAGATTTTGAAATATTTTATACTGGGTTTTAATAAATTTTTTTAGAATAACTTGTGCTGAAAATAAAAGATGAATGCTTTTCCAAAGCCTAGTGGATATTTTTCTTGGCAACATGCAATAGACATAGTTAGAAAATCTGATGGTTAAGGTTAAATGTCTTCTGTTGGACATGTTTGGATTAAGACCTGATAGACCACAATTTATATCTTACATCTAACAATTATGTTCTAGCCAATCAGGAGGTAATTAAGAAACTCGTGTTTTCATGGTTCAGGTTGGATTAAATGCAAAAGTAAATAGTTTCTTTCCTACCATTTACACTAAATTTAAAAATTCTCTAGTCTAATAATGTAGTCAAACATAGATAAAGATTCTAAAGGTTTAACAAACGCTAAAAAATATACTTACTCTTCACTCTGTGGCACAGAAAAGCTAAATGTAACTTAAGTGAGTATTAACTTACAAAATCAGACAAGTTACAGACTAACTCAGCTACCCCTCTGAAAAATTAGACAAAGTTCATATTTACTTGATAAATAACAAATCATTTTCTTCTTCAGATAACGAAGGAAGAAAACACAGAAGCCGGAGCAGAAGCAAAGAGGTAATTAAAACTTTGTAGTGCTTAGGTAATTGTACAATACATCTTTAAAAGTATCTTGTAGTTATGTGTGTATATGTAAAGCTATATGTAAATGACTTTATGGTAAGTACCAGAAACCCCATTGGAAACTCATAAACTTAAATCATTATGGAGTACCTATCATAGCGAAGCATGATTGAAGGCACCATTTTGACAGAAGGTAATTGCTCATAGCAAAATTGCAATCAGAAACTGGTAATATTAACTTTTTGTGGAAACAGCCAAATTAAAATTTCATATGGAGAAGTAGAATTGGTGTTCTTGGTGACTATCTCACAGAGCTTCCATTAACCAGAAGTCTTTAAGTTTTCTTATGCCTGACTGCTGCTCAGATGAGTATTCAACATTGAAATCCCTGTCTGAGGATTTTTTTTTAATCCCCATTGACTAAGCTCTTATTATTGCAACTTTGAAATGTAAGGAATGCTGCAGTATTACATATGTAGCAGAGTCAGCTGGAAGTGCGGCTGTGACAGCAGAGAGCTCAGAGGGCTTCTTTTAAAAATGAAGGCAAGGAGAATGAGAAGAGGCAGCAGCAATTGTACATTGGAGATAACTGGTTTACCTACCAGAGAAGAGGTGAAAGGAACAAACAAGGAGCAGCAGTAATAGTAATAGTCAGGAGGAGGGAGGCTATCACATGGGGCAATAATAGGCTAGGTAGATGGGGAACTCCTAAAATTTTAATGTGGAACAGGAACTTTCCTTTCCCCCATCCCAATGGAAGCTCTGTAACAATTAATTTAGGCGTTTTTGTGAAATTGACTATATTGTTTAGATCACATGATAACATTTCTATAATAAATCATACTCAGCGTGCTAATGCGCGAAGAGACTGAACTGAAGACGCTCCAGACTCAGATAGCAAAATTATAAGCCTACTTCATGATAAGGTAACTATTAGTCATTCAAACTCATATTTCCCTTAAAAATATCTTAAATCAATTATGGGATGCAATGGTGTTGTTGTTACTAAGTGTATGTCTGGAAGACTGAAATTTTAAAAAATAAATAGACTTAATGTTCAGAAAGTTTTAGCTTCACTTGTAAATATTTCAATCATTTTACCATATAATTAGATCTGAATGAACCTTTTACAATTTGCAAGTTGATTTAAATGATCAGCAGTTTTCTCATGAATAGGCTACCTGGTTAGTCTCTCATGGACCATCTTAGCTTGTGAACAGTTTTTGCTGGGAATTGCAAGGTCTTAAAGGATAGCTCAAAATGTTTTTCTAACTTGCATTGTATTTGTGAATGTGATTAGCATTAAGTAGCTGACATCTAAGAGTTCTGTTTACTCAACTATATTTCCATATAATAGTTGTTGGTTTGAGTTAAAAGAATAATTAACTATAAAAATAGCAAAGATATTTTCAGTTTGTTAGAAATGTCTGCTATGAAGGATCCTAGTATGTCTAAAATATGAAATTTACCAGTAAAAGTTCACTTTAAAGGATTTGGGTGAGAGACTTAAGAGCTTATCGTTAGTATTATCTAATTATGGCAGGTCTGCTCCAGGCTTGTCTATCTTAAGTGGAAAATAGTTTGGGGGAGGAAGGATATTTAAATGTCGAATAATAGGTTAGAGCACTTTTAGGTGAACCTGTAAATTATCATATATTAAAAACATAGGCTGTATGCTGATACTGCTTTATGATGATTACAGAGTTGGGATTTTTAAAGTCCTTTTTTAAAACAAATGTCTAAAGTATTTTGTATTAAAAACAGCTAGTAAATAAGCCGGATGTGTTAAGAAATATTTTTTTATCATGGTTTAGTCTCCAAAGAAAACACTGATGAAAAATCAGAACTGACCTTGCCAAAATACTTTTGCCACTGCAGATATAAAAGGAAGAGGAGATTGGTTTTAAAAAGTGGCACTACAGAAAAAATATTGCAGTGCACTATTGCAAGATATCTCCATTTTAAACTAAAGTATGAGGTCTCAATACTAACTTGAATTTTTTTAATACTTTAAGTGACCAGTACACATTAAACCCCGGGTAGAATAATTGTTGTTCATGTGTCTGACACCAGATGTGGGTTTACAGATGTGCATGGTTTGTTGCTAGACAAATATTAAATGTGCTATTTCCAGATGTGTGCTTGTATATACATGCTCAGACACTGGTAGAGACAGAAACGTGTTTAGGTTAATAGTATTCCATTATAGATGAAGTAGCAAGTAACTGAAAATGAACACTGTTTTCATTTTAATGCTCCGAATGGTCATGTGGTCATGTCAGGAGACAGGATAATAATATAGTAGAACCCATTTTATCCAACCCACCATTATCTGGCTCTACATATTAACCAAACATCTTGTGTGTGCAGGTCTGGATTGGAGTTGTCTGTCTTGTGGCTTGAAGGCAGTGCTCCTTGCATTTTCCCAGTCTTCAGATTATCTGAATTTTGGATTATCTGATTGGCCCTGATCTGAGTTAGACTGGATAAACAGGGTTCTGCTGTACTCGGATGGGTGCTTTAAAAATACCTAAAAAAGATAGTGGGTGGGAATAATAGTGTGTATTTGCAGCTTTGAGTACATGATGGTGTTAAATAAAATAGCCATTACTGTTGACTGAGCCACACTCCTAAGGTTACTAATGTTGCATCACAACATATCATTTTTTCTCTTTTGATACCATACTAACTCTCTTTGTTGCACTATCTTCCTGAAAGAACCAACTTCTTCTTAAAACAGGCAAGAAGACACGAGTCCAAAGAAAAGTCCTCCAAGAAACACAAATCTGAGGACCACAATGACAAAGAACACTCGTCTGACAAGGGAAGAGAGAGCTTAAATTCAGCTGAAAATGGAGAAGACAGACATAAACGTAAAGAAAGGAAATCATCAAGAGGCAAAAGTCATTCAAGATCCAGGTCTCGTGAAAGGTAAGTTGTCTGATTATTGAATTTTTTTTTTCTCCAAGTGGCTGACACACAATGGATGCTTTGGAGTTTTATTAGAATTCATATTAAGGATGTTAAGTATTGTGTTAATGACTAGTGGAATAGTCAATGCATTTTTGCATTGATTAGTCAATAGGGTGGCCCTGCCCCTATGAAACGCTACTATGGCATTTCAAAGCAGCAGCAGCACCACACGGAGCCCAAGGGCAGCTGGAGAGTCCCCAGTTGATCGCAGTGCTGCTGCTTTGAAGTAGCCCCTTTCTTCCGCCTTCTCACTGCCTCTCTGAGAAGCAGCAAGTGAAGGGAAGTGACTAGTCAACTATCTGAGAAGCAAATGCTTATCAGATAGTCAACTAGTCCTTAACATCCCTAGTTCATATATACAACTGAACTGGGTCTAATGCTGGGTTTTTAAAACAGATTTCTTCCAGAATCTTAACTCTAAAGCATCAAAGATTTTTATTTTGTTAGGCTGTGTATTTAATGCTAGTCCCAATTTACCTCCCCCTGACTCTCCAGTAAATTTACTGAGCTTCCTTAAGGCTTGATAGTGTCTAAAATGAATCCAAATCCATATTAATTTATGCAGTGAATATGTATTACATGGTACCTGTGACAGTATATTTCTCCTCCTAGTGACAGAGCATTGCTTTTCCTTCTGTGTATTGCCTTAACATTCCTACCTCCTAACTTAAAAAGTTTTCTTTAAAATGGTGTTCTGCTGTTTTAGGGTGTGTCTACACTATGTAGTTTTTAGCAACAGGACTGTAGTGAACACAGCCCTGTCACTAAAAGTCAGCATGTATAAACTGTGTTTGTCAGCACATTTGTCAACAAAACACTTCCATTCCCTGTAAAGGGTTCCACTTTGTCAGTAGAGCGCTACTGCCAACAAAGCAGCATTCATATTTTTACTTCCCACAAGCAAAACTTTCATTTACGGGCAAGAAGAGGAAAGCTTTTCTGAAGTATCCATGAATGATAATAGTTTTAAGTGCAAGTGCAGACACAGCTTAAGATTACAAACTCAGGTAAGCTCTGAAAGTCAGGACTCCTGCATTGGAATGCTCCTGTCATGTTTGGCTACCCCATCAACATATTGTATATCAAAATTAGGGAGCAAGATTGAAATTTGAGTACGTCTTAATGGACTTCTTTTAGTGGTGGTCTTTTTGTTCTTTCATATCCCTCACTTAAATTGTTCAAGATGCTAACTTTATTACAAGTAAATGATCGTTGGCCCTATGTATTGTCTAAGAACTTAAGTACAAATCCACTTTTCTTTATACAGTGTTCCGCTATTAAATAAATTGAATTAGGCGGCTTCAGAATATTTCTAAAAACGGGGAATATTTATTTTCAGGCGTCATCGTAGTAGAAGCCGTGATAGAAAAAAATCTCGGTCCCGAAGCAGAGAGAGAAAACGCCGTATAAGATCTCGTTCTAGATCAAAATCTAGACACCGACACAGAAGTAGAAGCAGAAGTAGGACTAGGAGCAGAAGCCGGTAAGTATGATGTCATTTGTTTGAATGCTAATTATTGGACTACAGAAACTTTGTCACCACTCAACTGTAGCACATTTTAAAATAATTCAGATTAATTGAAATAACTTTATTTTGCATTAATACCAAGGGGCACTGTTGAACTAATCACTGTACAAATGCATAAGATGATGATGTGTTTGCTCCAAAGAGCTTTCTGTCTTAAGTCTTGGGTTCTCACGCTTTTTAGTAGAATGACTCCACAGTATAAATTTAGTCTTGGGCACCATGCCAGTTCCTCCAAATCTAGCTATAAAGAATATCAAGAGGACTTCGTGATCCTGAGACAGTACAGATTATAAAATTTTGATCACAACTTTTGAGATTCTTTGGTGGGTGGTAATAGAGAACACAAAGTTTAATTTGTTACTAATAGATGTATAATTCCATTTGAATTACTTTTGTCAGAATTATTTCTTGTCAAGATCATTCTATATTTCAGTCTAACCTATTTAATCAGCTTGGACCAGTGTTTTCCTAATGGTGTTCCGCGGGACCCCGGGGTTTCGCAAAGTGAAAATAGGGATTCCGCGAGAATTCCATTACAACCTGAATTATTGTAATGGAATGGAATTTTAATTAATTTTATTGAAAACAGTTTCATTTGTGCATGCCACGATAAGTGTGCCTGTGTAATGCCAGCTTAGCCAGAGAGTGGAAACGATGATGTCATTACTCAGTGCTGGATGCGCAATCAGTCAGAGGTTCTGCAAAATTATTTTGAGTTCAAAAGGGTTTTGTGCCCAAATAAAATTGGGAAACACTGTCTTGAAGTATAAAGTTCCCAAAGAAAGAACAGTGCAGAATAAGAGGCAGCAAAGTCTGTTGAGTTTGTTTGTTTTGCAATCTCACCACTCTAGTAACATCAAACAAAAAAATAACTTGACTATATCTGCATCTTATTTCCAGATGATGCTTCTCTGTAAAACACACTTCAGAAAAGGGAAGCGACTCATTTGAAAATACTAGCTATCAAAGATACAGACCCTCAGTATATCCGGTGCACTTGACTCCACAGCTTTGTTTAACAGATCTGGAGCCTTTTGCAGTTCTTGGAGGTTTTTTAGCTTGTATTGAGATAAACACTACTAAGAATATAAGTGCACTAATATGCTAATTTGCCTATAGAACTTGAAATGAACACTCATGAGAGTTGTTTAATCTTCACTTCAAAATTAAGTACACAACATTTTGTCTTAAGTTTTATTTTGCATAGTGAAACTCTTGCTGCGTTAGGAACAGTTAAAAGCAGAATAAGGCATGACCGTCCAGAATATCACAGGGCCAAGTTGCATTTGCTATTTTTTTCATGTCTGATATGCTGCAGTTTTTATTCTGAACAAATGAATGATATGCTGCAAGCACTGATCCAAAACAGGTGATAAGCACTCTTTCAGTTCAACAAACTTTAGGTCAAAAACACAAATTCTAGATGTGAAATTGATACTCAGAACTCTGAGATCTCTAAAGGTGGTATGCAAGTTCACATTTTAAGTCCTGGCTTTAGTTTGAAAATCTGTAGTGACTGTTGAACACTAGATTTGTTTTGTTTCCCCAGTGTTTTCACCTTGGAAAATCAGGTTTCTGGTGTTATGTTACAGTGATACTTGTGAAATATTCAGCAAACTTAATCTTGCCAGGCACAGAATTCAATAGTGTGTGTTTGTTTGTTTTTCCCCTCAGAGATGTGTAATTTTAGCATGCACGTTTCAGAAGATAGCTGAGGGAACATATGTGACTGAGCATGCTCCCTATTTAATTGAGGGATTTAAGCTGCTTTTTTGGAAATTTGGAGAATGGAACCTTAAGAGGTCATATGTTCAACATAAAAATGATTTGGTAGCATTGAAAAGGCTCACTTGCATATAGTAACTTATCCCATGTGCACTCCCATGGATGTATTCCTGCTTCTTCAAGAACTGAATTAAAAAAAAAATTGAAACTGAGCAGCAAGTGCACAGCAAAAATAAGGAGACTTCAGTTTAGTCATGACTTTGCCCATCGAAAATATGCTGTTTAGGATTGCAAATAGATCTTGACAAAAATCTACCCTTTTTTTGGTGATTGCTTTATTTATATGTAATCAAAATCCTGGAAAAAATGATCACTATTCTTTGAAATCAAGAAAGTATGTGTTACACCAATTCTTGTGTCTTTTCTAGCAGCAGATGGACCTTCATGTGTATAACTGAGCTCCAACCAAAGCTTAATTAACAAAACATGGTTATAACTTTCACCATAAAATGAAGACCACTTAGTGATTAAAATTTTGGTTGGGGCATAGGGAGATGCTGCACCTCCTCAGTGTTACCACGAGTCTCCTGCGGGTGCTGTCTCTTGCAATTTGCTGTTTGTCAAAAACTTAAGAAATTCAAGATGCGATGGCTGTAATGTTCCTTTTTTTTTCCAAAAGCTTGGCAATGAATTATCATTGGTCTCTTGTAATTGAGCAATCAGTGATATGAGATAAGAGGATTGGCAGTAGTTGTGCTTCATGTCATTGTGTCTGGGCTATTGTGTAGCAGCAATATTTTTAGTCATTCAAAAATGATCATGTTCTATATCTGGAATTGCATTGCTGAGGAGCAAGGGGCTTGCTAGATGAACTGGTGTCTAGTTTCTAACACTTTTCTTTAGTGCTCAGATGTTCTATAATTGAAATTAACTCCTTCCCAGATTACTAGCCTTCAGGAAATCTATGCTCCTGAGTTTCCAAATGAATAGTGTTCCCTTTCAGTAATATAATTATAAGCTTCTGAATCAATCCTTGGATGCAAGGTGCTTTTAATTTAATTTAATTTTAATGTTACAGCTCTTAGTTTTAGGAGGAGTACTTGCCAGAAATACCTATGCACTTATTTTCCTCATTTGTGTGTAGAGATTCATAAGAAAAGTCTGTCTGGGTTTTAAATCATCCAGTCAGAATACAGCAACTGCTAAGCAATAGGTGATAGGTAACTGCACAAGATTGGGCCTCTATTAGCAGAATAATAATAAATTTGCAAGATTGCAAAAATTCCTTTCTTGTACCAATACCTGTGGCTTTTTCCTGTGTGAAACCATTCCTCCTACAGAGACCAATGGATCTTTCAGAGTGAAACTCATTTTTTTTACCTGTTATCAATTTCCCTGCTTTAAGATGGTCCATAGCTATTTGACCTGAAGGTGAACCCTTCATAAAATTACTAGATGATTACTATAAATGATTCCTTGGAAGTTTTTTTTTTTCCATCCCTTATCTAAAATAATATTTTTAGAGTACACATCCACTGGTGGGCTGTGTCTAGACTACATCCCTCTTTCGACAGAGGGATGTAAATTAGACACGTTGAAATTGTAAATGAAGCGGGGATTTAAATATCCCACACTTCATTTGCATGATCACGTCATGGCGCTCTTTCAAAAAAGTGCCATTTCAAAAGTAAAACCGCGGTCTAGATGCAGTTTTTCGAAAATGGCAGGCTTTTTCGAAAGACCCTGTACTTAAAAAAACAGACACACATTAGGTTTACAGGATCTTTTGAAAAAGCCTGCCGTCTTCAGAAGAACTGTGTCTAGACCACGGTTTTACTTTCGAAATGGCGCTTTCAAAAGAGCGCCATGGCGTGATTATGCAAATGAAGCATGGGATATTTAAATCCCCACTTCATTTGCAATTTAACATGTCTAATTTACATCCTTTTGTCAAAAGGGATGTAGTCTAGACACAGTGTTAGTGTTGCATGGGGAGTATAGAACTATTCCCTTGTCACTTGATTGTATTTCATACCATAAACTTGTCTGTTTCTGGTAATTTTTAAGAGATTGGTTCTAAAGAGAAGCTTATCTGGCCTTATGGTATATTTAACATTTTGGATTTCATAGCTTGTTAGAATTCTTGATTATAAATTTCAGTCAGACGAATGAAGAGGAATTTTTGTTTCCTAAAACAGGGTGTTCTAATATTCCTATTACGGAATTCAGTTCATGTTTTTTTTCCCTTTTTGATGCATTGTTTTATATTTTTAATTGTGCTTGCCTCATTTTAACCTTCCAGTATTTCCTTGGAAAACAACTGAAGGATCGATATTAAATTATTTGTGGAATACTAAAATACACATGGATTTACTTCAGTGAATAATGGATCTTGTTGTTAATGTTTGATCACTTACAGAGAAAGAAAGAAGAGAATTGAAAAACCCCGAAAATTCAGTAGGAGTCATAGCCGAAGTCCAAGCCCACCACCTTTTAGGGGGCGAAACACAGCAATGGATGCACAGGAAGCATTAGCCAGAAGGTATTTAATTTCATTTGAAATAAACTAACCCCTACTATGATCTGAAGTACTTTCCATATCTTATAAGGATAGTGCAAATAGTGACAATACAGGAAAATAATCTTGTATTTTGCCAAATGTTTATCAGCTAGGTAATATTGGTTGCGGTAGCTTTTGGAATTTGAATAGCAAACCCGCTCAGGGACACTGCATTAAGACCACCAATTCACTACTGGTAGTAGTATGTGGTATTAAATAGTAAATTAATGCTCAGTAGTAAGGAACACCCTTAAGTACTATATGTAAGCTTTTAAAAAAAAATCTTTAAATATTTACAATTTAGTTTCCCCTTAGTGCTTCAAGATTTCTGTGGAAATAGTAAAATTCTTGTTCATTCTGACTTTGCTTAAATAAATAGACATTTATATGGACATTTAAACTGCAGCAGGGGAGGTTTAGGTTGGACATTAGGAAAAGTTCCTAATTGTCAAGGTGGTTAAACACTGGAATAAATTGCCTAGGGAGGTTGTGGAATCTCCATCTCTGGAGATATTTCAGAGTAGGTTAGATAAATGTCTATCAGGGATGGTCTAGACTGTACTGGGTCCTGCCATGAGGGCAGGGGACTGGACTCAATGACCTCTCGAGGTTCCTTCCAGTCCTAGTATTCTGTGATTGGATGGAAGCTGACCAGTATTGCAAGTCTTTTGCGTATTAATGTTTACATTACTCTTTTGTTATGTAAATAATTTGTAGGTTGGAAAGAGCAAAGAAATTGCAAGAACAGAGAGAAAAAGAAATGGTTGAAAAACAGAAACAACAGGAAATTGTTGCTGGTAATTTTTTTTAAAACTATTTATATATACAGAACAGTAATGACAGGGAAAACAATGTAGTTTTGTTAGATCTTGAACATAACCTGTTCTGCAGAACAAGCTGAATACCTGTAGTCTTTTTTTCCTTGTTCCAGAGATAATCATGATAACCTGAATCGTGGTGTCTATTGCATGAGAGAGTATTTGAAAACTTGTTATTTGGCATTTTTATTGTTGCCATCAGTGCGCAGCTCCACACTCACCTTCATGAAAGTATGCAGCACTGTCTTCTGACTTTTAGTTGTTCATTACATAAAAGTGGTGAAGAATGTCCAATTCTAGCTATTAGTTCAGAAACAAATTTGTAAAATAGGCGTATCTGGTGTTGTAATGGTTTAAAAATACAAAATGAGTTTTAATGTAATGTTAAATATAACTTGATTTTGCTAAAATCCATTGCAAACTTCCCATTTTTAACATAAATGTTGCTATTTTCTAAAGTGCATCCTATGTCTCAAGACATGTTCAATCTATTTTTCTAATAATGCAGGTTAGAAAACAGTTTCTAAAATTATATTGGAGTGTTGCTATGTTATCTTATTCCTAGTGTTGAAAGTTTATTCAATGTGAATACTTCCTTTCCCTTCTCCCCCCACCCCTCCACGCTTTTTCTCTTCAGCTGCTGCTGCTACTGGAGGGTCTGTCATCAATGTTGCTGCTCTTCTGGCATCAGGAACCCAAGTAACTCCTCAGATAGCTATGGCAGCTCAAATGGCAGCACTACAAGCAAAAGCACTGGCAGAGACTGGAATAGCAGTACCTAGCTATTATAATCCAGCAGCAGTGAACCCAATGAAGTTTGCTGAGCAGGAGAAAAAGCGGAAAATGCTCTGGCAGGGGAAAAAAGAAGGGGTAACTTTCTTGCTACTTTCTTAGTGTGAATGGAATGCATCCTAATTAGGGAAGTGAACCGTTAACCTGAGGCTTAACCGGTTAACTGGGACTTTACATCCCTCATCTCAATCAATATAAATCTGTTTAAAATTATGCCTTTCTATGTGACAACATTAAACTAAGAATAATGAAATTGTTGACACTCAGGCTCTATTAGTAACATTTACATGAGTGTAGAAAGTTACAAGCTGGTTCTTGAATTTTAGACACTACAAATGGTGAAGGCCAGATAAGAACCCAGATGTCCTTACTGCTCATAGGAAATATTAAAATAAATTTCTTGGGTTGCAACAAAATATCAACTGCAAGATGGCCTTGGCTATGGAACACATAACCTGTTTTAAGCCTAAAGAAACTAATTTAACTCTTGGTTTCCAAGGAGTAACATTGTTCTAAATGACAGCAAAATTAAAATATAATACTTATGCAGCCTGTTATCCTACTTTGACCTCTCTCGCCACATGACATTATTTGACATACCATTAATAATATTAACGGAAATATGTTTTTGAATTAAGAGAAGGGAGTTAAGAGTAGTTGAATTTATGAATAGCAAGTCAGGATTTGAGTAGAGGTTCAGTTTTCCACTTCCCAATGCCAAGGATTTGGCATTGGTGTTTAGTGGCTGTAAACAGTATATGTTGATATAAAGCATTTGTGGTATATCAGATTCATTGCCACTAAATTACCTTAATTAACAAGTTCAGGTTCTTTTCTGTATTTGGATTTCTCAAATTTTTAGCCTTTACTGGATATATTATATTATAGAGTGAAAGCTTAAAATTCTCCTTTTGGACAAAATAGGACACACTGCCAGCTAAATTAACTCTTCATTGTCCTATAAAGTATAATAAATATAAATGACATGTGTTCCACGTCCCTTTAGCTCTACTGCAGGCAAGAAATCCAGGGGGGGGTCTCAGTTTATCACCACCAATATCTTCAAAGCAATAAGTGTTATCTGGAAAGAATAATCATGAACTCAGTCTCACTTCTGGAGCTCATCAGAACTCCTGTGCAGTTGTCAAGAACTTTTGTTTCTGAGCTGTTTATAATGAGGAGGATCTAGTGTTTCAACAGCAGTCACATCTTTTGACCTACAACACCAGACCTGGATTGCAAATTTGAAGTGGGAACTTCCATATAGCAATAAAGAATACCACCACCAATAGGCCATGGTCTACCCCTTAGTGTTCTTTAGACATCTATTTGTCAGTTACTACTTGAGTTGTAATTTTTTGGAAATGTTCTGAAAAACTCTTAAATTTGTGTACTTGTTTCCTAACTTTGTAGGATAAATCACAGTCTGCAGAAATATGGGAGAAATTGAATTTTGGAAACAAGGACCAAAACGTCAAATTCAGAAAACTAATGGGCATCAAGGTATGGAGTTCTGAATTTGCTTGTATTTGGGTCTATAATTTACTCATTTTTGGATGATCTTAATTTTCCTTGAAAGTGTCTTATGACTAATACCCATTTAAATTCCTTAAAAGTAGTTCAAACCATGTTTTGGGGAGTTCTAAAATTAAAAACATGAATTCATGTTAAGATGTTTGTGAATTTTTAAATCAGAAATACTTCCTAATTCAAGTAGATATTTTAGAACTCGCGTGTGGTGACTGACTACTTTTTCTGTCAAGACCTAGAATAGAAACCATTGTAGTTCTAATGCAACTCGATATTTACAGCCTAGTAGTTACACAGGATTATTAAATATATTACTTAGTAAGTGTAGACATGCATTTGAATTGATTTAATCCAGATTATTACTCCTTATTTCTTAGAAATAAGGAACATTTTTACTTGGGCTTGAAGTGATGATTAGATTAGTAAATTAAGAGAAAAAATTCTTATGAGATTTCGCTTCCCGCTTTAAATTGTTCTGTCTTACTGTTAAATATCCAAATGTTTAATGTAATTCTGTATTTTATCATAGGTGAGGGGAACTTAATTATTTTGCTAAGTGTTGTTAAATTTGAATGCTTGCTCTTGTTCATATTAGTAATAATCACTGATAGCTGTTACAAAGTCACAAGTTTTTGGATAAACCTTAAACATTAATGCTTTGACTGTGCAATAATCTTTTTCTATAAATGACTTGTCTGATTTCTAGAGTGAGGATGAAGCTGGTTGTAGTTCAGTTGATGAAGAAAGTTACAAAACTCTGAAGCAACAGGAAGAAGTATTCAGAAATCTAGATGCACAATATGAGATGGCACGATCACAGACTCACACACAAAGAGGAATGGGACTGGGGTTTACATCTTCAATGCGAGGAATGGATGCAATTTGAAAAAGAACATAAGTCTGGGACTTTGTGGATGACTCCTGTTCTGAGGTTGGGTCCTTGTTCACCAAAAAGCTAGTATTCTAGCTTGCATGGGTGTTGCATTGACTTTAATTTATTGAAAGTACAATTTTTCTGTAAATATGAGATCAGTGATACTGGTGTTAGTGTTGTAATCAGGTTATACCCACTTCCATTAAACTTGACAGAACTATAGAAGGACAGTATTTTTAGTTAAAGTTCTACTTTTTCAAACAACACAGAAGCTGGGAAACTCATTCATGGATATTTCTTGTCCACTGTCTTGTGTACTTTTGTACTTTAACCTTGTACAGTTATTTTCAACTCTTGGAACATGAAAGAAACAGTGTGTAGATGTTATCTAGCAGATTGGGCCAATTGGTACATAATCCAGTGCAAAAACCTGGTTAATAAACATGTTTTTCTTTAATCTTGAATGTCTAGCTATTACTTTACTATAGGAAGCTTGTAGTGGAATAAGAAGAAAAGATAAATGGCTGGGGGGAGGTATTCATATAATAGAAACAAGTACTGCATATTGTCTTGGCAGTTTCTTCTTAACTGTTACAATGGTGTATATTGGGTGGGAAACATCCAGCCACCAACTTGTCTGTATCCAGCCCCCAAGATCCTGAGCATTTGGGTACCCCATACTGGCACTCCTGCCTCCTTGCTGCCCCACCGCAGGGATGAAGCATACAAAATATATTGGCTATGACCCAACCCCTCTTCCTCTTTCCTTCCCTCCCCTCCCCCCCGCCACAGCTAGCAGGAGA